AAATAAATAAACTTAGCAATGGCTGAGAAGGTGTCGGCCTAGCCTGATTGCCCACGTGCAATCACAAGCTTTAATACTCGTATCACTATACCCATAATGCATCTATACTCAAGGGCCCAGGCCCTTGTCCTGTCGCTCTCGTGTCGCAAAAATATTTAATTTCCGGCTTATTCGTTGGCACTCAAACGCCAGAAATTCCATAACTTGCCATGAATGAATGATCGAATGACAGTTAGAATTTAGAATTTAACAATAGTTTGTCAGATATAGTTAGCATTCATATTTGCAAATAGGTACTGAAAAACCTTTTTTGGGAGTATTTATCATTAAAGTTTAAAGTTTAAAGGTGTCATCGCGAGACTTGTTTCATACAGCACATGAAATACAACTGTAGACTACGTTTTTCGTTGGAGCAGGCAATTATGAGCTTATTGAATTTGTAAGGAGTTTGAGTCAGGGACAAGAATAAAATTCAGCATGGTATATTCGGTCAAAACAGAATAATGCTTTGTTTTTTCATTATTTTGATAACTTTTGATGAGATCTTTTTATTTGCACGGTCATTGGCCGGGTAAAACAAGATCTTAAAAGAAAGCACCGTCCTAAATTTCGAGAAATTTAGGCATTATCTTGACGGACAATCAAGCGATAATCGATGACTTTTGATAACAATTTTTAACATGCACAAGATTAAAAGTATCAACAAGGCAGATTGCACATTTCCAAAATTTCCAAGAATTCGACCCTGTGCCAACTTTGCAGAAAATAAATATGAGCCTAGGCAAATTAACACAAGTTACCACTTAAGCGACACTATCGTTGTTCCCTTGTTGACATAGTTTTAATGAAAACAACAAGCCTCGCCGTCCAATATGTACCATCAATTCATATAACATCAATTTATCCGAACATCTGCTCCAACTGTTATTTTTTTTCTTGGTTATAAATTTCGATTCTTTCTTATTTCCTAAAACTCTTCAGAATTGGCCCTTTCGTCACAGTCTCGTCACCAATGATATGTTATTGACTTTTGATCAGATTCCACGAGTTGGCTATCCAATTTTACACCCCTTCTCCTTTCAGTAGTCGTGATTTTTTTGCTTGAGTTTGCATCTGATCACTATCGTGAATTAGTCGTAAATGATGGCTCACTTTCATAATTGTTGGGCGACGTTTTTAATCGTGTCACTGATATGTGCCACTGAGTGAACTCACACAACGGGACTGAAGACACGCAATTGCCTAATTTTCACTCCTGTTTAGAGAAACATTTCGGCATTCCGACAGCAAAAAACAAAAAACACTTACAAGTCAGTTTCGTGATAAAGGCATACAGTTTTCTAGCCATGGCCGAGCCCCAAAAAAAGGCGCTTTAAGGTTTTCATACTCTGTCAAAAAGACCATATATTAGCCAAACAGCGATTAAAAGCATGATGTGACACTAAGCTTTCGAAATGGCCTTGATGAATGGTTTGGGCCGACTGTGGAAGAAATTTAGTATCAGTGGTATCTTAGCAACAGGTGTCTGCATGTGAACTTGGTACGGATGGATATTTTTTCATTAACAAAAGCAATATAAACGAGATGAAAGTGTCTTGGGAACCAGCCTGGTGGCCTCAAAAACTTCCTTTTACAACCCAAAAGTGGTAACCGTTATTAACTTTTGACAACACGTTATTTTTCTCTGTGTTTTCGACCAATATATCTTTATGATCAGCATAATTATCCAATGGCCTACTTCCACTGGGACCTGCTGAGCGCAAAAGATATGAAAATGAGTAGAACCATTTGTGTATTATTTCCCGAAGTGCAAAGTGTTTAAAAGAAAGGCACCCTACAAACAAAATTCAAACGTTGAGGTAACAACCAGACGATAGAGGAAGACTTACGGTAAGGAAATAGGAAAACTTCGTCTCAAAATTCATACCAGTGCTATCTGCTGAAGGCAACCTTTCATCCTGTGAAAAATATTAACATTTAAGAATTTGTTCATGCCAAAAGTTTCGTAGAATACGGAGATTTTTTAATGCATACAAAAGGGTGGGGAACAAGAGAGAGTTCAACTCAGAGTTTCCCCTGGCACAATTGCTTTCCGGCGAAAGAGCTGATAAAAGTTACAGTGCCAGTAATTTCTACTCGATGGAATTCATGGCTATAATTTTCTAAATCATAGAAAATAAACGATAACCTTCCGAATATCTTTTACGAGTGCCAAATCGATCTATGTCTCTATCATTAATTTTTGTCTTTTAAATTTTTTTGCAGACTTGAATATGGCTTTGACGAACTGGATTGTTCTATTTCTATCGCTGTCAGCTGTGGTGCAGAAAAGCTTCGAAGAAGGTAACACCGAAGACGTTTTTTTAAGATAAAATTAAAACTTAACCCCGATAAACCTGTGAGAAATTATAATCAGGAAAGTAAAACCCTAACTCCTTGGATTTTTTCGTTTCCTCAATTGTGGTGTAATCCCGACCTCTTTCTCGAGTGCACGTCAGCATTTTTATCTAAAATGTAAGTTCCTTGTTAATACCGAGACTATAAAACGTGCAGTGGGGATGAAAACCCGCAATACCTCTCTTTGTTTGTTGCTTGCTTGTTTTATTATTATTATTATTATTATTATTTTAAAGTCCTTTAGTCACAAAGAATGGCTTCAAATCTTTCCATTTCCGGTTAAATGTAGCTCGAGATGGAGAACATTGCTTACTATGATAACTCGTCAAAGTGTGACCTGATTGGTTCATATAGGATTATTTTCTCAGCCTAAGATAATCGCATTCACAGGTTTTTGTAGAAATTCTCAGCTAGAAGGTGTCTTAGGAATGAACATTACTATCACAAACAATCAGGAATTCTATGAGCAAAGTCAGATGACAAGATATTCTTGATGAAAGTTCATACATTTTATTATGTTAGACTGAGGGCGAAACTGACAGGACTGTACAACTCTTCAAAATAATAACAAGCATGACCAAGCAATGGTTCTTATTATATCTAGCTTCCTCTTTCAGAACAACGCATATGCACCAGTGAAGCAGATGTCGTGTTCATGGTGGATTCCTCGAGCAGCATTAATTTTCGTAATTTCAATAAATCAATAAAGGAATTTGTCAAGAAGTCAGCGGCTGAATTCGGAGTTGCYCCAGAAAAAAGTCGCGCAGCAGTGATACTATTCAGTGCGGATGCTGAAGCCACGATAAAGTTTGGTGACGCCCCAACCCTAGAAAAATTCCAGGAAAAAGTGGACAAACTGAAACACCAGCGGGGAAGACGAACACGAATCGACAAAGCCCTGATATTAGCAAATCAGCTTTTTTCTAAGCTGGAAAAAGACGGAAGAAAGAAGGTTGCAATCCTTTTAACTGACGGGAAACAGAATCCGCTCGCAGACCTGGAAAAAGCAGCTAAGCCTTTACACGCCAAAAATGTTATTACGATTGCCGTTGGTATTGGCGACGACGTGGGAAAAAATGAGCTGGAGAAGATAACTAAGAGTAAGGACAATGTGGTAATAAATAAGGACTATAAGGAGCTACAAGAGAAACTTCTGAACATAATCAGCATTGCCTGTGAGGAGAGTAAGTCCTTCATATCTTAACTCTTTTTATTTACAAGTCATCAATCAGTGAGACTTTTCTCATAAAATCAGACCACTGTTCGACAAATATGCACCAAGCACAAATACAACATTCAACAACGAAATGTAATTCTCAGCGGTTGTTGCATGATGGGAAATTGTACGCATTTTAAAATGGAGTGTTTGATAGTGTCACAAACAAACTTTCAAAGCCAGAACACTCTCCAAATATTTGAACGAAAACGAATTTAAATATTTCGTATTTTCCTGCAATTTAAACGATCCTGTAGCCTGGAGCAGGCGAAATTGGAGACACCTCAATAACTTATCGTTCTGAGCATTCTAAATCATTTAATTGTTAAATGCACCATCGATCCGTTTAACATACTACGCGGGAAAAATGACTGTCAAGATTTGTGAAACCCTGACCACTCCGTGCATTCACTTTATGTTAAAATTTGTCTGATGCGGCAACGTCGCGAATGTTTCTTGTCTTTTAATTTATTTTTATGCTATTAAGGAAACATTTCAAATAAACGGTCAGATCTCTGGATTAAGTTATTTTGGTATATTGACCACAAAATTGTACGAGTGAGTACATATGTCTGTACGCAGAATGATTTTGCCTTGCTGTACCTCCGAAATTCATTCGAAATTTTCAGTCCTTAAACAAAAGTCTGATCGGGAAAGAAAAGTGGCTGTGGAAAACTCAGAGTAGAGAAGAGATCATTGATGTGAAAAATAAAAATGCTTCCCACTTTTACTAAAAATATTGCATTCTTGTTTGACCTTCACCATAGGTAACTGTGGTTGCTTTAGCGGTTCATCATATATTACCGTAAAAAACTACGAGGATAAAAAGGCCCGCGCACAAGACGACATTCACTTTGAATTCAAAAGCTCCAAGCCGTCGGGAACAATTATGTTCGTTCAGGGTAACTATAGCGACCATATTTACGTGGGATATGATCATGGCGACCGGTTGGTGTACCGAGTGGACTTAGGAAAAGGTGAGGTGATTTTGTGAGACAAGAAGTAATCGATCCACTATCAACACATCTTCCTTACAAAAACTCAGAAAGGGAGATAACCACAAAAATTATTGATTTGAAGAGGTTTGTAAATAGATATAGCAGCACTCAATTTCAAAAACTGGTTGACTCAATCACTGTAATTTGTTTCCAGGAGAGAGACAAATAATGGCAAAAGGCGTGAAACTGGACGACAACAAATGGCACACATTTCGACTAATGCGAGTTGGACGTTCGTTTACCATAACCATCGACAATGCACATCGACCACAAGGTATAGTAGGAGATTTATCTCATGTTGCGAAGTCTATAATCAATTTAAGACTCAGAAGCTAACAAGCCAATTAGTACTAAAACTTTAAGTTGATATTAAGTGTTAGCTCCGTTTGACACTTCTTTGTTATTTGTTACTAATGCATAGATTCGAGAAGTCTTCACGAATCAACATTGTTTATATTACTATCCATGCATATATCAATTGCTACGATTTACTCAGACTCTTTAATATATTTCTTCATTAGAGAAGCAAATAGATTAGAAAACTGTTAGGGAAAAATCATGTCAATATTTCTATCTTTGATCCGCAAAGCAGTCAGTCATTGTGTTCGTGTCATATTTTTAAATTGTTCATGAATACATTGATCATCGTAACTCAGCATTTAGGGAAGATGGTAATAATGTAATAATACATTTCAAATTTAATCTTAACCTATTTGAATTGGTTTTTCATTTTGTGATCTTTCGATTTTTGTCATGCGTATTCAGCATAAGACTCAGTATCAGGGATGGAGGATAACTTGATTGAATGATTAAGCAAGTGATTTCCACGTAAAAAGACAGTTTATCGTACCAAACCCATTGTAAATAGGTCGATATAAAACAAATTTTCACCTCATTTGTCTGTTTCTTTTTTTTAGCGATGGGAGAAGTTCCCGGAGACTTCGAACGTCTCGACATAACTAAATCAAAGGGTTATTTCTTGGGCTCGCTGAATCTGCACAATTTTACCGGCTGCATTCGAGATTTCAGGGTTGACGAAGAAGCCATAATTGCAAATGCCATCGGAGGAGAAAGCGAATACTCGGTTACAAACAAGAATGAAATGAAGCAATGCACCGAAAGTGACCAAGAGTAAGACCGGGAACTGCTAACCTCATTCCCAGGGCGCTGGGAACGAGTTTGTGGGCACTGCCAAAAAATAATTAATTTTAAAGTAAACTGAGAATAGGTAACTGTAAGTGTATTTGTAAGTGCAGCCCAAAGACAACTGATTCAGCAGGAAATTTGCTCGTAACTGTGCATGATTTTGTGCAAAGAAGGAAAAATAATAAAAGCTGCTAATCTATGCTAAGAGTTGACTGGTGTATTCTGATTGAGAATGAGCGTGTAATTACCGATTCATTAATGGTGGCTGAAATGTTCAACAACTACTTTTGCGAGGTGTACAGGAGTGATGGTGACAGTAAGGAAATGGTTGAGTTTGTTGATCATCCTAGTGTTAAAGTCATTGCTGAGAAAACTTGTGATGATGTTTTTGACCTCGTCCCAGTTGATGTTGGCTACATAAGGAAAATTTTGGATACTCTTGACCCTCGCAAGGCTGTTGGTTGCGATAAGATATCTCAGAGGCTACTTCGTTTATCCTCACCTGTTATTGCCGAGCCGGTTACCCGTTTAATCAATTATTTTATTACCAATCGTCAATGGCCAATAGTTTGGAAAAGCAGTGACGTTGTTCCTGTTTTCAAGAAGGAAAGTATGACGGATAAGACCTGCTATCGTCCAGTTTCTGTTCTGACTTCCTTATCGAAATTATATGAGAAGGTATTGTTCGATCAAATCTATGAAGCCTTTCATTGGCGACTCTCACCGAACCTGTCTGGCTTTCTCAAGGGTCACTCGTGTTGCACGGCCTTATTGAAATTGACTGAAGATTGGAGAGCCTGTCTTGACAGAAGAGAAGCTGTTGCAGCGGTGGCTATCGACCTAAGTAAAGCTTTTGACTCTGTTTGTCACCCGCTTCTCCTAGCTAAATTAAAGGCATATGGTTTTACGCATGATGCGNCTGCACCTCCGTAGCAGAGCACAGAATATCTCATAGTCATATTTCAACTAAGGTGTTTGTCATAGGTATTTTTATTCTCACTTTAAGTTGTCCGTAGGACTCGTAGTAAATTTTTCGTATTTGAATGCGTAAGAAAACCAAATTTTATAATTTCCTCTTGAATCTGATAAGGACATGATCAGTGAAACTCATTTGGATCTCAAGAATGAGAGTTTTGCACATTCTTTGTTAAATACTCTTTTTAAAGTTTCTCCAGGCTCCACGTCTTGATTGAACTAGTTTGGCCCAAGCAGATCGGCGATTTTCGAGGATAAAACGTCTAGCTCCAAAGATGGACGGAATTTCAGTTTTCTCGCCCAGATATCTGCTGAGCGAAACTCACACGATAATCAAGCTTTAATTTTTCTCATTAAACCACTCCAATGCTTTATTCTTCTTCCATTTTTAAGGACTTAGCTTATACACCAGATTGCACATTTCCAAACTTGCCAAGAATTCAACACTCTGTGCCAACCTTGCAAAAAAGAAATATTAGCATAGGCAAACTAGCACAAGTTACCACTTAAGCCTCCCATAATTGCCATAGTTTTAAGAAAACAACAAGCCTCGCCGCCCAATATGTACCATCACTTTCATATAACATCAATTTATCCGAACATCTGCTCCAACTGTTACTTTTTTCCTTGGTTATAAATTTCGATTCTTTGTTATTTCCTAAAACTCTTCAGAATTGGCCCTTTCGTCAGTCTTGCCACAAATGATATGTTATGAACTTTTTATTAGATTCCACGAGTTGGTCATCCAAGTTTATACCTCTTTTCCTTTCAGTAGTCGTGCTTGTTTTGTTTGAATTTGCACCTGATCACCATTGTGAATTAGTCGTAAATTATGGCTCACTTACATAATTGCTGGGCGTCGTTTTTAATCGCATCACTGATATGTATCAGTGGACTCACACAACGGGACTGAAGACATGCAGTTGTCTAATTTTCACTCCCGTTTAGATCAAAATTTCGGCTTTCCAACAGCAAAGACAGGAATGTCAAAAAATATTTGCAAGTTAGTTTTGTGTTAAAGGCACACATTTTTCTAGCCATAGCCGAGCCACAAAAAAAGGCGCTTTAAGGTTTCTATACCCTGTCAAAAAGACCATATATTAGCCAAACAGCGATTGAAAGCATGATATGAAACTAAGCTTGCGAAATGGCCTTGATGAATTATTTGAGCTAACTGTGGAAGAAATTTGGTATCAGAAGTATCTTAGCAACAGGTGTCTGCATGTGAACTTGGTACGGATGGATATTTTTTCATTAACGAAAAACAGTAGAAATGAGATGAAGGTGTCTTGGGAACCAGCGTGGTGGCCTCAAAAACTTCGTTTTACTACTGACTAGTGGTAACCGTTATAACTGTTGACAACACGTTATTTTTTTTTCCGTGTTTTCGACCAATTTATCTTTATGATCAGCAAATTTATCCAATGGCGTACATCCATTGGCACCTGCTGAGCGCAAAAAGTACGGAAGTTTGAGTAAAACCATTAGCGTGTTATTTCCCTAAGTACAAAGTGTTTAAAAGAAAGGCACCCTACAAACAAAATTAATTCAAAGGTTGAGATAACAATCAGACTAGAGAGGAAGACAAACGGTAAGAAAATAGTAAAACTTCGTCTGAAAATTTATACCAGCGCTATCTGCTGAGGGCTACCTTTCATCCTGTGAAAAATATTAAACATTTAAGAATTTGTTCATGCCGACAATTTCGTAGAATACGGAGATTTTTTAATGCACACAGGAAGTTTGTAGAACATGAGAGAGTTAGAGTTTCCTGTGGAACAATTGGTTTCCGTCGAAAGAGTTGATATAAGTTACACTACCAGTAATTTTCTAAAGTCATGAAAGTAATAGTATTTTGGGTAACCTTCTGAATCTCTTTAAACGACTGCCAAATCCATCTATATCTCTTTCATTAATTTTTTTCTTTTAAATTTTTTTCCAGACCTGAATATGGTTATAACGACCTGGATTGTTTTATTTCTATCGCTGTCAGCTTTGGTGCAGAAAAGCTTCGAAGAACGTAACACTGAAGACGTTGCATAGTGAACTGGCTTACATCAATTATATGGTTGTTTTAAGATAAAATTAAAACTTAACCCCGATAAACCTGTTAGAAATTATAATTGGGAGAGTAAAACCGCAACTCCTTGGACTTTTTGGACTTTCGTTTCCTCAATTGTGGCTCTGTGTGGAAGTGGTTTTGATTTGCCTGCTCACTTGATCAGGAAAGATAACAATGCCCTCGTAAATCCCGATAACTAAGGGAGTTGGGGTGGGGGGTAGGTAGTGGAATCATGTTCATGGTGGAAAAGTTCAATTTTGCATGCCTTATTGTAAGGTGGGAGCCCTCATAAGATATCACCGGTAATACTACTGCTCTGACTATCTCAGCTACCTCTCTCTGGAGTGCACTTCAGCCTTTTTATCTAAACTGTAAGTTCTTTGTTTATACGAAGACTGTAAAACGTGCAGTGGGAATGAAAACCCGCAATAGCTCTCTTTTGTTTTATTATTATTATTATTATTATTATTATTATTATTATTATCATGGCAGTGATACACATCTGGATGCCATATTAAAAAAAAAAAAAAAAAACCACTAAAGCTAGGCAGCGAACCGTAGCTAGTTCTGTGCATAAATTTACAGAAAATTTACTATTTAAAATCTCATACATAAGTCAACTTCAAATTCTATAAATAGTTAAAAGAAAGTCGTCAAATATATAGATAAATCAAACCCTAAAAGTTCCTAATGGTGCGAGTATATTGTTCAGCTCAAGACCTTAAAAGATCTCGCAATGTTTAAGCTGCTACTCAGCACGGACTTCTGCATCCTTCTCAGGCATTCTCTACTTCGTTCTGCTCCTAGCAAATCCCTAACAATACTGTACGGCTCATTGGAGTAGTCCCCCCAAAACATCGATTTTAACGTTCACTTGGTTGATATTGTACCCCGGATATTGCTGCTTCAACTCCAAACGCAGTGGGGCGTACTTGAGAGTTTTCTCCTTCTCTTTCTGTTCTCTATTCTCCAGCCAGGGGGAACTCATCTCTAAGAGGGTGACGATCTGATTTTCCTTGTCCACAATCCTCGCGTCTATTCGGTTCGCGTGCACTTCTGTGTAATCCGCATAAACCGGGACATCCCAATACATTGCCGCTTGTTCGTTCTCATGAAAGGGCTTTGGCTGTGTTGGAGAGTACCTAGGGGGTACCACTTCGAATAGTTGGTAGTTTTTCAGCAACTCAAAAAAGAGTATTTTGAGTGCGCATGCTGCGTTGTGTCTCGCCAAATACTATATTTATGCCGGAGCACTACACCCTGACAACACATGGGCTCCTGGGCCTTTCCACACATCCTGCATCTCATATCGGGGTCATCGGTTGTCTTAGTTTTCCTTAAGTAATACAGCTTAGTTGGAAGTAGCTGCTCGTATAGCTCCATTATCCCGGCTATCGTTTGCGTCGGTGCCGCCCGCCATTCTGTCATCCAGGAAAAGCACTCACTGTCAAGATCTTCGTCTTCCCAACGCGCCGTCATCGGCTTTCCCTGCCACTTCTTTTCTTTAGTATCCTCAGAGCGCTTACTCTGTACTGCTTTCTTTGCCCACAATCCGATATTTCGGCCCTCTATTACCTCACCCTGCTCCGTAGTACCTGACGGATCCGGGCACCTGAGCTCTGGCTTCATCGCAAGTTCTTGGGCAAATCTCTGGGCATCTCCTATCAAGGAGTGCCGACCAGTCCTTTGTGCCTTCTCCTCAAACTGTCTCACCAGTTCAATTGTCGGATCTGAGTTGTTATATAACCTCACTGCCACCTTGACCTTAGTGAGCTTGTACTCCGCTTCGATCGACTTTAAAAGTCCCTTACCTCCGGCTCTCCTTGGGAGATAGAGTAGGTCTCTAGTTCCCAGTGGGTGTTTCCCACCGTTCTCCACCATGATCTTCCTTGACTCTCTGTCCAGTCTCTGCAACTCTGGGATAGGCCATACTTGCGTCCACATAAGGTAAACGAGTACAGGAAGTGCGAACTGGTTGGTCGCCACCACCTTATGATGGTTTGACAATGGGCTTGACCAAATAACGGAGAGCATAGGCAGATACACTCTCGCCGCGCTTTCGAGCGTCAGGCTGTCCCCTTGTTTAATACTCTCTAGAACGCCGAGAAACTTGTACTGGGAATCCTCCTTCAA